CCAACCATGTTGCCTCAGTCAAATGGAACAAATCAAGTAGATCAAGATGCAGTCAAGATTGGTTTCCTCATCCAACGGTGGAGATTCAATGATCAAGTCTATAAATACAGAAGGAGTGTGGAAGTCCAAGTGTGGTAAACCAAGAGGAGCCAAATGGACTATAAGGGAATCAAATTATTCATGCTCATATCCAGCTAGCTGATTATCCTTCACCACTTCGGCTACCACCCTACTCATCTAATGCTCTTAGACTAGCTACAATTCATACAAACCTATAGAGTTTAGATCAGTTGGTAGTTTAGATATACACCAATATAATCTAGACTAATGTTAAACAATCTGGAGGGCTTTGTGTTCAAATCCAAAAGGTGAGAAAGGGCAAAGACATGAGTAATTATTGACAAGTCAATGTCATTAGTGAAAAACCTTGGGAGGACTGAGTAGCTTGGAATGATATTGATATTCCTTGTGGAAAACTTCACAATCTATGCCTCGACCAATGGTAGATTGGGCACTAAATGTAATGAGATATTCATTTAGTGGAAATCCGTCTGAAATGGGTTGGAACTGGATGTAGGAGGATTACACCACCTCTGAACCATGATATATCTTGTGTCACCTTTTATATTCTGCTCCTAACAAACAATTCAGTTCTCACTTACATTCACAAGTTCACAGCAAAACGGTTTGCTCATAAAAATTGTCTAGCGAACACTTCCAGTTCACTGCGAGTCAACTCCTTGTTATCTGGTCATTCAAGTGATCTATTTTTATATGTCTAAATCCTTCATACTTATGTGTTAAGATAAATTTTTTTCCATCCTGGTGTGAGACCAGAACCCGAAGGTTTTGGTGTGGGGGCCAGGCAACACCCCATCTATTTATTATATAGAAACGAGAGATACAAGAGTAGGAGGATTAGACCGAAGCCTACCCGGGAAACAAAGTGAAAAAATTACAATACATATGGAAAGCTTACTGCATCAAACTTCAGAATGCCTACAAATTTGTTAAAATGATGAGTGGTGGTTTTAATAGATAAGCTATGAATAGCTAAGAATTCCGCTGCTCTATTGACTCTTGGCTTGGTGTGTGAAATGGTCCAACTGTTGATTTTGAGTTTCTTTCTTATGCTTTGGATCTTTGGCCAATGCTTCCAATTATGAGTTGAGAGCCCCATGATCCCTTCATAGACCTCTTTGTCATCTATCTCAAAAATAAGATTTGTGGATATTGTATTATTTAGGAGGGTGATAACGTAATCGAGACCCTCATAAAGAGCATCACTTCCTTGTTGTTGTGACAGATTTGTGGCATGACCAATATATCCCCCTTCATTATTTCGTAGAATGGCGGCAAATCTTGTGAGGGTGGGTGTAATCTGGCGACTGGCAACATTGACCTTGTAGGTATTTGTTGGGGGTTTGGTCCAATAGGCTACTGAGGTCTTATAGTCTTTTTTATGGGAGGGGGTAGTATGTATATTGAAAGGTGTTGTCGGAGTTTTGGCTATGAACGGGTTGGCAACCGACATGGTAAAGATGTCGTGCTTAATAGTATTTATAGCCTCAGCCACATGACCCATTTTGTTATCAAAAAGGAATTTGTTACGACTTTTCCAAAGATGCCAAGTTATGATATTTGGAAGAACATAGTTAAAATCCTTTACGTGCCCAGTGCAGTCTAAGTACCAGCTAGTAATGTAATTATGAAATGTGCCAGTTTTAGAGGGACTAAAGTTGAAAAGGTTTTCAAAATGATTCCAGATTGCTTTAGAAAAGATACATTGAAAGAAATAGTGGTCAATAGTATCGTTGTTATTGCAAAAAGGACATTTAAAAGGTCCATGGATGCCAAAATTTTTTAGTTTATCCTCAAAAAGTAGAATCAGATTATTGAGTCTCCACAGAAAGAAAGAAATTTTTTTGGGGGTTCGTTTATTGCAAATATACTTGGCATTAGAAATTAAAACGGTTTTGGGTCGAAGGACATCATAGGCACTATTAAAGCTGAGACTACCTTTCGTGTTGGGTCGCCAGATGTGGTTGTCGTTGTGTTCACTATACTGAATCTTCATAGCATGCAGTTTTTCAATAACATAACGGGGCAGAAAGTCTTGGACCGTGGCAATCAAAACATTTTCAGGCATAGCTTCTCTAATAGTCAAATGCATAACGTTGGCCGGAATATTCTCCAGGAAGCTTTTAATGGTGCCTAATTCGCTCCAATTTGAAAACCAAAAAGAACTTTTTCCACTCTGTACCTGAATACAATAATTAGTGTCAAAGACCTGCTGGACAAAATTAAGAGCCCTATTCATAACAGAGAGACTTCTATCCTTGAGAGAATTAACCCACGTTGCCCAAAGCCCTTTCCCAGTTTTAATCTTCCACTGAAGCTTCACAAAGAAAGTTTTTGGATGACAAAAAGACTACGAAAGCCCAATCCATTTTCAGTAACAGGGTAACAACACTTAGCCCACGTACGCCAAATATGTTTGTGGTGATCATTTTTGTTATCCCACAAGAAATTCGTGAGCTTGCGCTCAATCTTTTGTAAAATAGTACTGGGGATAGGGGAGACAGCCATATGATAAAGAGGTATGGAATTAAGCACATGATTAATTAGGATTAACCTACCACCAGTAGAGAGCATACGGTGTTTCCACCCAGAAAGTTTATTATCGATCTTAATCAAGATATGATCAAAGTGAGCATTAAGCAAACGACCAGTACAAATATTAGCACCTAAGTAATTAAAAGGAAAGGATCCCTGCTTGATATGAAAAACATGGTTGAACACATTACAGTTGTAGAATTTGGCATGTTTAGAAATCAAGTAAAAACTCTTTTCCTTATTAATCATCTGGCCAGAGTGTTTTTCATAATCATTGATAGTTTGTATGAAGAGCAGAGAGTGTTTTTTTTCCAGCATTCGAGAAAACAACCAGGTCATCAGCAAAAGAAAGATGACTTATACAAGGCATACCCTTAAAAGTATTATAAATCATACCTTTCCCAGAAGCATAAAGGAGCTTAAGATTCCTAGACAGAATTTCTGCCACGATGATAAACAAAATAGGGGAAAGGGGGTCACCTTGTTTGACTCCCCTTGAAGGCTTGAAAAAGCCCTTTGGAGCACCATTAATCAAGATAGAGCACCAAGTGGCATGCAAATTATTAAGTATAAGGTTGACAAAAGAGGGTTGGAAGCCTAATTTGATCAAGACATGAGTGATAAAGGTCCAAGAAATTCTATCAAAAGCTTTAGTCATGTCAAACTTAAAAACAATGTTGTGGCCACGGGTTCTTTTATTAATATGGCTAACCAATTCTCTTAGAACCAAAATACTATCCGAAATCTCTTTTCCCTTTTGAAAAGCAGTTTGTTCTTCAGAAATGATTTTTGGAAGAAGAGAGTTAATCCTATTGGTAATAATCTTGGTGAAAATTTTATTGGAAAAGTTGCTGAGGCTAATAGGTCGGAATTTAGAAAATTTATGAGCATTTGGTTCTTTAGGGATGAGAGCTATAAGGGTATGACCAATGTTTTTAGGAATGGGGACCCCACAAAAAAACTCTTGGACCGCATTTAAAAGATCTTCCTCTATAATATCATATGCACAATGGTAAAAAAAACGTCATAACCGTCACTACCAGGAGCGCTTTATTTGTTCAAACTAAAAACCGCCTGCTTTAATTCATCTTTAGTAACGGTTTTCATGAGTAGGAGGTTATCATCATCAGTAATAACCTTGCTGATGTTCTGGAGGTAGCCTGTATGATCCTGAGCTTCAGTAGCATCATCTGCAGTAAGTAAATTAGAGAAATATGCAATAGCAGCGCTATTAATATCATCCTTTTTTTCAATCCAAGTGCCATCATCCTTCTTAATTCTAGTAATATTCAACTTTTGATGTTTGGCCTTAATTGAGAGATGAAAAAACTTTGTATTAGCATCTCCATCCTTTAGCCAATTAATTTTTGCCTTTTGCCTATAATAAGTGTTAACATGAGTTGAGTATTGTATGTACCTAGCTTGAGCATCCTTAAGGAGGAGATGATCAGTCTCAGATATGGAATCAGAGAGCTTATTTTCCAGAAAAGTTATCTCAGTTTCAGCTTCAGACTGTTTAGTAAAAATATTTCCAAAGACGTTGTGGTTCTAGGCTTTCAAAACAACTTTAAGGCGTTTGAGTTTATTAGCGAACTTCCACATTCCATACCCATCACTGGGGGAATCCCAAGAGGCCTTAACAATATCAAGAAAAGAGTTGTGTTTGGTCCACATGTGCTGAAATTTAAAGGCCTTAGGAACAGAATTAGTAGTGTGATTTTGTAAAAGGAGGAGCGAGTTGTGTTGTAAGGGTAAAGTTCCAGTTAAGTTGTTGAAACTCATTTGAAACCATAATCCTATCGAGTTTTTTAAGAACAAGCCCATTCCTTCTATTTCCTATCCAAGTATAGGGAGTACCCTGAAAATTCAGCTCAGTAAGGCTATTGTCAATAATAAAATCATTGAAATCATTGTGTTAAGACTAGTTCTAAAGCCACCCAATGTGTTAGAGTATAGTTCATTGCTATACCTTAACAAATTAAGCATAAACTTAATTTCAGCAGCCTGCTCCTTAAGGTTTTGGCAGTCAGCTCCAAGTTGTCTGGCAGCCAGCTCCTTCAGATTTCGGCAGCCTGCTCCTTAAGTCATCTGCTTCTGGCAAACACATTAGTACCACGTTTCATCCATCTCCTCACAACTAAAAGAGTCATGAACTTTGTTTATATAAAGTGTCACCCTCTTGAGGTCAAGACTTCCATTGCATGTTGCAACATCTCCCTAAAGATATTGGAACTCATGTTGTTAGAGAAAAAAGGATTGAAAAATGAAAAAAAATCAAAAGTAGACCTTTATCCCACTTGGGACCCATCATATTGTCATTTCTGTTTTACCCTTATTTATTTATCATAAAAATAAAAATATACGAGTATATATAGGAAAAATAGCGGATTTATTATTACGAGTAGAATTTTTCTTAATTATTTTGAAATTCTTCGTTGCGAAAACTCTGCTTCTTGATCTTGGGAAGAAAAGTCTCGATTGCGGATTCGATGATACTCCGTAATTGATATTCCGCATATATACTTGCTGCGCCTGCTCTAGAAAACAAGACTCGTTCTTTCTTCAATGCGACCTCATGATATCTCCCATAAACCCGCCGTAGACAATCCCCTCTCTGATCTCGCCATGTCCTGTTCGTCTCCGATCCACCAGAACTCCGATGGCAAGGTAGAGAGCAATAACAGAGCTGACAAGAAAAACAGTAATAGCCACAGAAGCAGCCCGAACAATGATGTTAGTAGTAGTAGCAATGTCGTCGTCAGGAGAGAGAGGCCATCGAGGGAATGCACGAAACGTGCTGCAGCGAGGCTGCAGGCTGCTGCTGCAGCCGAAGCTGAGGCAGGGGCTGCTGTCAAAGAGCGCAGGAAGAAGACTGTGGTCAGGAGGGAGAAGTTGTCCGGTAATAAGGAGGAGGATGAGGATGAGGAGGAGAAGTTGAGCGAGAGTGAAGAGGATGGAGAAATGGAGGAGGGGGAGGAAAGGGATGATGGGTTAATCAAGTCGTCTAATAAGCAGCAGTATAGCAAGATAGTTACTCCTTTAGTGGGAGAACCAGAGGCATCACAGTTGCCGCGATGGAAGCTCAGGTCCATGTGGCAGTTAGCTTCAATACTGAATTTCTTGCATGTATGTCTGGGCCTGATAAAGTCACTAATTTTACCGTGACACTTGGTGCTTTGAAGCGAATGTGATCATCTTGATATTGTGGTTTTAGGTGTTCAGGCCTTTGTTGAACATTAAAGTAGAGTTCTCAGTGGAGGAATTTGAAACAGCATTGATTATGCCAAATAGTACACTAGCTTCCATACATATTCCACTATTGAAGGTCAGTGTCTGAGCTTTTTAAAAATAATGTGCTATCTTTTAGAGAACTGTGAGTATATCTTGTGTGTTAATTGACATTCTCTCTAATGTATTGCATCCTTTCTAATCACGAGGAAGGCAGAGATTTGTTGTCTATGTTTTTTCTTCACTCATTGCTCTTATTTTTCTCTGTTTAATGCGCCTTTTTGTTTTTGGGAGTGGCATTGCCTATAAAAACTTCACTTTGAATAACTATGGGTTATGGCTTCTTTGTGGTATGGGAATAAGTGACCATGAGGTATTGAGGTTGAATGAATTTAGGAATTAGGAGACGTAAAAGTTTTTGTAAACCTGATTACCTGATGTATGCAAGCCTTAACACTGCTGACCCCAAACTCTTTTGGGACTAAGGCCTGGTTGTTGTTGTATACAACACAATAATGTTATATGTTATAGCTGGACTACTTTAGGACTGTGATCATATGAAGTTGCAGGCATGTTATCCATGCGTTGAAATCTATATACTACGTATTAGTTTTTGTTAGTTAAAAAAGAAAATGTATCCAGACACATTGCCTTAAAACACTTTTTATTCGTTTTTCCATTTTTTATGCAAAGCGCTTGGTTTCTGCATCAATTTGATTTACATACAAGAAAATGGCCTTCTGCTCTATTTATTACTGTTTCCGGACTTCAAAACAAGGTTCATTTTTTTGAGGCGTCTTGATATCATACTATTGCATTGACAATTACGTAGTATGTTTTTGTAGTCCTCTTATAGTTTTTCTGTGCGCATAAATACAGTTCTTTGTGCAATGATGAATTTCTGAGTCACAAGCACTCTTATTGTTTTATTTCTGACGCTCTTATAGGCAATCCCTCCCGTTACCCGAATGGCACTTGGGCACAATACTTGGGTAACTGTTTTGTGCAGAAAGCTAAGGGATTGGTGGCATTGGGTAAGTCACGTACTGATGTACATATCTGTGAAGTGAAGTCTAGAAATTCGATATCTGAAATGCTTCTGTTTTATCTGCTCTGTGTATTGCAGGTTGCCGATGGAGAACTACCTATTTTTGCATCACACGGGTGTGTAATCATCCATTGGAAGTTCGAATTATAGTATATTTAGCTTGTATAGTTTGTGTAATTAGATATCCTTCAGATGATTTGTGATTTTTCTGAGACTGTAGGGCTGAAGTTGACGCATATAGTGCACTTGATCCTGCTGTTCGTGTGGTTATTTTGAAAGCAATATGTGATATTCGTGTTGAGGTAGGGATTAGCATATATCTGTTGTTCACCACAATTTCTAATATTTATATAAGGGGGCTTGAATTTTTAATTGGTCTGTAAGAAGAGATGATAAAATTTACCATAAGATTTAACCAGTGCACTGGTTATTGGTTGCTTAGACTTTAGAATTTCATTAAGAACTGTAGATTTAGAGCAGCATAAAACCAATAAAAGTATATGTTTCATACATTTTTGTTGACACAAAGAGGTACTGGCAAGTAGAAATGCACTTTATGTGTTCGTTGAGCTAGCTTTTGTCGTGCTTAGAAGTTAGAACTCGCTTATGAAAACAACACAGGATTGATTTTTTTGGTGTCATGTGGTCTTTAGTATAAGAACTTTGAGCGACCAGGCCTTGGCCTATACCAATTTTCTAGATGTTTTTACACTCTCAAGAGTCTCCATGCACCATTTGATGCATGAATTTGGTGGAAAATGAATTTAGTATCCGAAAAATCTTTTTGTGAAATGAGAGTGGAGTTCTTTGGCAATGGAATTGTGAAAGAGCAGAAACACAAAAGGTTAGGAGAAAGCTATATGGAATTGCTTCTGTGAAAAAAATGAAGACGAGAAAATTTTGCATTGAGAAATAAGGGTTAGTTCAGCCCCCTAGCTTAGAGAATATGTGATATGAAGCGGGAAGATCATGTGGCGGGACCGGGCTTGGGCCCACTTCCGTGGGCCGGTTACGGGCTGTCTTTATAATTATTTATTATTATTCTAAGTTAATGTTATGTTTTGGTTTGGGCCTTTTATTAGTAGAGTACTTAGTAGAGTAGTATGGGCCTAATTAGGATTTAATTAATTTGGGCTTGATTAGGGTTCTTGTAGAAGGTTATTTATACCATTTGCCAGAGTTCATTCTTATTATCTTGGAATAAAAGTTGGTTTAGCATTTTGGCTCTGGGCAACAGTATTTATTTATCGTTGATTATCTGGGCAACGGTTTACCCCGTTGATTTTATTTTTCTGTTCTTATCAATTGGTCCAACCTGCCGGATCCCGTCCCGCCAGGATGACGAGATCTCAGAACAGTCGTTTGACAGAGATGGAGGCCGTGCAAACCCGAATGGGAGAGGAGCAAGCCCGAATGAGGGTCGAGCAGTTCCGAATGGGGACTGAGCATAGTCGGATGAAGCAAACCCTGGAAGCAAACGGCAGGCGGCTGGCTGAGATCGCCGCATCCCTTGCGGCGATGACCAAGGCCCTTGTGCCATCGATCACGACAGAGACACAATCAGACACAGTCATCAGTGCCGCCATCGCAGCGACAACGCACAACGATGGACCTCCGCGCAACACTCCTCCAAAGTTGCTGCCCATGTTCGACAGAAAAGAACCGATTAGGTGGATAGCTAGGGCTGAGCAAAAGTCCGAAATTAATCAAACCCTACCCGATAGGAAAGTGACAGCAGCTACGGTAGCCATGGAAGGAGCTGCCTTGGACGGGTTGACCTGGTTGAAGGCACAAAAACCGAGCATGACCTGGGAGGAATTTACACAAGCACAAGTGACCCGATTTGATTCACGGTTCAAAGAAAGCCGATTCAAACGGCTGTTCGGGGTCAAACAGCTGGGAACCATAGAGGAATATAATAACCTTTATGTTCAATTGGCCAGTCAGGTTCCCAGACTGTCCGATGATTATTACTTGGGGTATTTCATGAACAAGCTAAAAAGATCAAGTGGCAGCTTTCCTCAAGATACGGGGCAGCCCCCGAGGACAAATATGAGCCGGTTTTCGGATTCCAACCTTGAGGACAAGGTTGTTTTGAAAGAGGATGGATTGATATGAAGCGGGAAGATAATGTGGCGGGACCGAGCTTGGGCCCACTTCCGTGGGCCGGTTACGGGCTGTCTTTATAATTATTTATTATTATTTTAAGTTAATGTTATGTTTTGGTTTGTGCCTTTTATTAGTAGAGTACTTAGTAGAGTAGTATGGGCCTAATTAGGATTTAATTAATTTGGGCTTGATTAGGGTTGCTTGTAGAAGGTTATTTATACCCCTCGCCAGAGTTCATTCTTATTATCTTGGAATAAAAGTTGGTTTAGCCTTTTGGCTCTGGGCAACCGTATTTATTTATCGTTGATTATCTGGGCAACGGTTCACCCCGTTGATTTTATTTTTCTGTTCTTATCAATATGTTTCATGTAATCTTTTTGTCATTAGACTTGTGGTAGCTCATAGGTTGCTAGTTGAAGAGTCCCCTTATGTGTGTCTTTAACTCTTTATACTTGAGTTCATTCTTCAGTTTTTTTTTTTGAAAGAATTCTTCAGTCGAATATATAAAAATAAATACCTTTTATCCTCTTTATCAATATGGTATCGAAGAGTTATTAGTCAGTGGGCCTGATTTTGTCCCCAGGGACAGTGAATATTGTGTGACACTGTTCATGTAGTGCCCTTTTCTCAATTACTCTCTTGGTTGTCTGGTGAGCCTTTCGTTAGCAATTTGGGATTGAGATCGAGTCTAAGGCCGGCTTGGCTTGGCAGTGTGCGTGTATCAGGTAGGGGCGGGAACCTGCCGGCTAGGGTTAATTATGTTCTTGCCTGTGGCCAGAAGGGCCACAAAAAAGTCCGTGACTTTTCTGATTTTTTTTATTATTATCAATGCTTCCCCCTTTGTTATTGCTGAATAAAAATATAAATAGGCACCCCAACCTTGACATGATAGAATTCTAATGTAACTAAAACTGTAACACTCTAATACTTCTATTACTACTACGAAGTAATAATTCAAATATAAAATTAGCTATCACTCTATCAGGGTAGATTCCTCTTCTAATTAAATGTCTTGCTGGCCCATGTGTTTCCTTCTACGATAGGTGATCCCATAAAACGTATCTGTAACATCACTCCCTCCCTCGAAACTGAGCATGTCCCAAAGCTCATATCCTGGATAAGCAGCGACAAAAGTCTCAAACGGCTCTCAAGTTGCCTCCTCTGTTGTGCTGCCTTGCCATTGTACTAACAGCTCCTTCTCACCACTGTTTAAACGGAAGCGTAGAACATTGGCTGGTAGTGGCAGTGCCTTGCCGTCCTTCAGTGGTGGTAGCAGTGCTGGTGCTGGTGCTGGTGCTGGTGCTGGTGGAACGCTCCTTTGATGAGGCTTTAATAAAGAGACCTGGGAAGTGTTGTGGATCTTGCTTCCCGGTGGTAACTCCAACTGATATGCCACACTGCCCACCTTTGCTAATACTTTAAATGACCCATAAAATTTTGGAAGCAGTTTGTGTTGATTTACTTGATTAAAGCGACCCACTGTTAGTTGTCCATAAGGTTGTAGGCGCAACCACACCATATCACTGACATTAAACTGTAGGTTCTAGTGATTATTGTCATATGTACTCTTCATGCGCTGCCGGGACAACAATAACTACACTCTTACGGGGGCTTAGAGCTCATCACACGCATTGAGTTTTTTATCAACTGCCTCAAGCCGTGTGGAGCCTGCAGAATAAGCCAATGACCTAGATGGTTCTCGGTCATATACCAGATGAAAGGGCGCTTCTCCTAGTGCTGTGTGGTAGTATGTATTGTAACAAAATTTGATCCATGGTATCCATCATACCCATTTCTTTGGCTTCTCTCCTATCATGCATTGCAAGTACATCTCTATTGTTTGATTAATGACCTCCATTTGTCCATCAGTTTGCGGATGATAGGCGGAGGAAAATGCAACCTTTGTTCCAGTCTTCCAGACAGACAAAACAATTCTCTCCGAAATGTACTTATGAAAATTTGTCGCGATCAGAGACTATTATTTCCAGGAAGCCATGCGATGGACAATTTCATTGTAGAAAATTGTTGCTTCTGATGGCTCTGTGTATGGATGGGGCAAGGGAGTGAAGTGGGCATGTTTTGAGAAACGAACTATCACCATGAGCAGAACTAATATACCATTGACTTTTGGCAGCCCTTCCACGAATTCCAGTAAGATATTGGCCCATATTTTTTGGTACTGGTAATGCCTTCAAAAGTATTGCAGGGTGTAAATTTACCCATATATTTCTCTTACATACCTGGCATAATCCAATATACTCCCACCATTTTTCTCATACCGTGCCAATAAAGCTCTCTCCGAATATGCTGCAGAGTTTTTTCTATGCCTTCATGCCTCATATCATGCATCTCGGAGATAATCTTAGGAATAGTTGAAAAGTCAGAGCACAGGAAAACCATCCCTTTAAAAATCAGCACCCCCTATGTAAGCTTTCAACCCTCTCCTAATTTCTCTTTCCTCCCATGCAGACCATTCTGGATAACCGATTGCCTCTTTTTAATTGTTCCATACAATGTGGTTACTGGAATAGTGATTGCCACACACTATCTCATTTTCCTCTGCGTGAGAGGGCATCAATTGCCCTTTTAATATTCCCGGCTTGTATGCCTCATGAAAATCAAATCCTACCAGTTTACTTGGCCAATGCTGCTGCGGGTAGGTTGTAAGTCATTGCTCTAGGAGGTATTTTAAACTCGAGTGATCGGTGCGCACCAGTAATTGGCAACCCGAAAGGTATGGTCTCCAATGAATAATTGCTTTGGCGAGGCCGATTAATTCTCATTCATACACTGCCAATTTTTTATGCCTCTCCGTGAATATTTTACTGAAAAAGTGATACGGTGTCCCTTTTACTGGAGTAATGCCCCCACCCCAGTCCTGGATGCATCTTACTCCACCACAAATCATGTCCTGAAATTCAGTAACGAAAGCACAGGAGCAGAAGAGAGTAATCCTTCAGCTTCTCAAATGCAGTTTGTGCTTTTGGAGTCCACCGATATGAGTTTTTCCTTAAAGGCGAAGTTAGGGGGCTGCAATCCCGCCGTAATTCTGAATGAATTTCTGGTAATAGGCTGTGAATTCCCAAAAAACCCTTAGAGCTTTTGTCAAGTAGGGATTTGGCCACTCTTTAACAGAGATCACCTTTGATCTATCAACTTCTACCCCCTTTTCATGTATGACATGTCTCAGGTACGTGACTATTGTTTCTCCAAACATGCACATAGACTGTTTCAAGTAAAGGTTGTTCCGACAGAGAATTTCAAACACAAGTCGCGCATGATGAAGATGTTCCACCCATGTTTTTCTACAATAACAACATTACCCCAATGCCGCAAAGGCTCCCATCTATGGTGGGTAGGGGGGGTCGCATGTGAGCAACCTTAACCCTGTACTAAAGCACAATGAGACTAGTTTCGGATGACCCATAATAAAAATCGTGTCGAAAATTGCATGGACTGACTGCTGCTTCATTAAAAAGAAGCACAAACAGTTTAATGCGCCACCCATGCTTTACTGCATACAAAAATATCATCGAAGGAAACCAAAATGAACTCACATAAATATGGCCGGAAAATGTTGTTCACAAGTCTTTGGAAAGTTGATGGTGCATTTGTTAGGCCAAAAGACATAACTAAGAACTCGAAATGCCCATGATGGGTATGAAATACGGACTTGATTATACCCTGATCTTAAAAGTTCATCTAGTATCGTAATAGGATATTTATCCTCGACAGTGTTGTTAAGTTCTCGATAATCAACACAGAACCATCAAGAGTTATTGTGCTTCTTTACAAGCAGAACTGGAGAAGAGAACGATGATATGCTTGACTGAATTATTCCCTGATCGAGCATCAATTCACACTGCCTTTTAATATCGTCTTTCAAAAGTAGGGGTACAGGTAGGGCCGCACTACCACCGGTCCTGTTCCAAGTTTCAAGGCAATCTGATTATCACACTCTCTGCGGTGGCAGCCCTCTGGGCTCAGCAAATAAATATTCATATTCCCTCATTAAGGTATCTAACTGAGCCTTGTCCGGGTGTTTGTGTGAAACAGAGCCACTCGAGGAGCGAGTGTAGGGTGCTGCCTGCGCCAAATCACTGTCTTGCTTCCCCCTTTGAATTGCACCGTTCTATCACAGAAATCCCATAATATGGGTCCTTAAGATTGCAACCAGGACACACTCAAAATGGCATCAAAACCGTCCAGCGGAATGGTGTAAAAATCTGCTTCATATTCTTTTCTGTCAACTAGGAAAGGAACTGATTTGCATATCCTTTTACATGGAACCCTTTCATCGTTAGCCACTCGCACATGCCGATGGGTAATTCTATAGATGACACTAACGCTTCTCTTAAGAAGTTATGGGTGCTTCCAGAGTCGGTCAACACTGTCAACTCTGTTCATGCCACCATGCTTGTAATTGCATTGTTGATGAGTATTTTGTTCCACTCTTATCTTTGGCAGACAACTCCAAGTCTAGTAAGCACCCCCCCCCCTTTCTTCTCATCTTCAATCTCGATCAAGAATTGGTTTTTACACCGGTGATTCATTGACTGCAGTTCATCACATTTACAACCCAACCTTTTTGATTGCCTTTCTGCCATTTCACCCTTCGTGAGCCGTTTAATAATCGTGTTTCTTGCCCTTGTTGCAATGGGCGCTTGCCTATGTTGCGGCAGGCTTCGTTGTTTCACATCTGTTGTAGTACCCAGAACTATGACATGTGCAATAGTCAGTGATTCCTTCGCTTCTAATTTCCGCACAAAGTTCATCACGTAACCTAGGTTCCCTGATTTTTCCATCTTCACATCAGCCCTTAAGTGAGGCCGTAGACCAGCGACAAATAAGGCAATCTGATGCGTAGGTTGTATGCCTGAAGTTCTTGCTATGGCCTTCTGAAATTGGGCACAATACTCATCAATTGTTCCTGTATGCATCGGGAAGCTTCGAATCTCCTATCGGGTTAGCACTCACGGGAGGCCCAAAGCGCTCCAGGCAAAGGTCTTTAAACCTGTCCCAGTTGACTTCATCTTCTTCCTCGATCATTTGCTTGAACCACAGTTGTGCATCATCAATCAAATGGGATGGAACAACATTCAACTTTGCAACACTAGGAGTTTCTTGGTTCAAGAAGAAATTTTCGCAACTTTCCAACCAGCTGATAGGGTCAGAGTTGCCATCAACGAGCTGATAGAATTCTAATCTAACTAAAACAGTAACACCCTGATACTTCTATTACTACTAGGAACTAATAAATTAAAATAGCTATCAGGCTAGATCCTCTACTAGTTAAATGTCTCGCTGGCCCATGTCTTTCCTCCTACGATAGGGGATTCCATAAAATGTATCCGCAACACCTTTCCAGTCACTGTCCTACTCCCAAGCACCACTGCTCGGTGCCACATATAGGCGGGTGAGTCTGGTGAAAACTTCCAGTGAGTTTCTCCAGATCTGTTCTTTTGCTTCCGGCGACCTCCTAGGTAACATTTGCCCCCCTTTTGTCAACTATGCCATTTGTCCCTAACTTATCCACAAATCACGATCTGACTTATGGCCTCTAAAAAATTACATGAATCTCAAAAGTATTCATCTTGGCCTGATGTTGAATTGTGATTCATAGGCCATGGGGTTGTTGATCAATTAAATAAAGGCAGAAAATATTCTGGAAATGGAAAAGAGTGCTTGAGTAATGATTAGTGCTCATTTGTGTAGTTTGTTATGGTTGTCTCTATCTTCCGAACTGGACACTTTATGTAGAGCTTTAAGACGAGCCTTGAGGTATGGAATCAAGCTAATGCTTTTATGCAATAATGTGGATCTCTGATTTATTCTATGGTTGACAGTTTGATTATTCTAAGGAAAGAAGATGCGTGCGTGGAACCCTTTCTTGACTAATATAAATAGCGGGCATGGTGGAAATATGGCAAACCACCCTGGGATGGTGGTGGCTTGGCCGGTTTTGCATTGCAGGAGATGGAGGCAACAATACACGTGGCATTGTAGAAGCAAGGGCAGGGGTGGCAGATAAAAGACCACAATTCAAAACCCAAGACGGCACCACCATCCTATGATGGTCTTGGCTATACTAGTGTTATAAACTTATGATCAAGCAGCTCTACATCCACTGTCAGCCCGTAGGACAAAACACAACGAGATTGATTACATAAAGGGCAGCCCTGTGCACGTTGGCATCACCACAAGACGAGGGTCTGGGGAAGGTCCCACCACAGGGGTGTAAAATGACAACTGAGGATTGATTGTCATTTTAAATTTATTTGAAACAGTTTCCTCGGGACGTTACCGATTCTTTTGTAAGCTCTAATGATAAATTAGCTATTATTTTTGCCAATTCTTTAATAGATTCTGGGGTTGAATACATTTATAGCTAGCTTGGTGCATATGACATACAGCCTCTTGCTTGGGGGGGGGGGGGGGGTATCGAAAATTACAAAAGGTTGGTTCAGCCACATTGTTTTAGAGCATATGTTTATATACAGTTTTTGTCATTAGTGCTGCAGTAGTTCTTGGTGCTTGTTGAAGAGTCCTCTTACGTCTCTAATTGTATACATATTTGCGTTCTTTGATCAGTTGAATATAGAAAAAAGACCCTTTCTCTTCTTTTCCATCATGGTAGAATAAGGTCACCTTCGCTATCAGGGCTGCCGATTCTAGTTGACTAAACGTTCTGAACCCCATTCCCCTTTTTGAACTTGGCCCTCTCTCTCCAAAAGCTGTGGATTCTTAACTCAGTAAATCTTTGTGCTGAGGTTCAATCATCAAAGGATGTCGAGGAGGAATTGTGGGTTTTGTGGAAAGGTGTTGTTGATATGGATGTGTTTAAACCCACCTATAACCTTTGTTTCATATTCTGATTTCTCAATCTTGGCACAAAGCCACAAGTACACAAAAAATTATTTTCTTTCTCCTTAGTGCCATGTGCTGCTTCTCATGAAAAAAAAAAACATATTTTGGTTTCCATGAAAAACAATAATTTAATATATTAGCAACGGTAAATACAACCACACTGTGTTCATTCCAACAATCTTTTTAGGTACTATGATGAATGATAAAGTTTTTGTGTGTCATTCAGAAAGATATGTTAGTAACCCCTACTGGGTCCTTTTTTTTTCGCACAAGTGCCTATTGTATTTGTGAGGGGCACTTGGCCTTCTTTCTTAATAATATAAAACTGAAAATCAAATCCCTCCTTTCTTAATAATATGCAACTGAAAATCTTGTTTATCTTCTGTAATAGTTCCATAACTCCCTCCATTTTGCCCCTTTTATACTAATTCAGTTTTACTCAGTGTGCTAAAACAAAATGCGCTAGGCTTCATATTGGTTGTAGACTGAGGTCTCGCATGTAGAGGGCTTCGGTGGGATCAGGGGAGCTGGGAGCGTAGGTAGAAATAAGTGGGGTCAGTTTTAAGAAAGTAGTGATCAAGGGAAGCCTACTAGCCTAGCACCTAGAGAGGACAACACGGGGATTTTTGAATCAAAGCTTTTACCTCTACTCATAATGTTATGAAATTTTAGTGATTTTGGCATGTTGCTGTGTTTTGCAGCAAGAGGATATTCGTAACTATATTGATGACTCGTTAAAACAAGGTGCTCCACTTTCAGTGTTTCGAAAAGAAAGAATTGGAGGTGATTCACACGGAATCTCTTATTGGTTAGTGTTTTGCTTGCTTTTACTTATGAGATTTTCTATTTTCATTGTAGAGAAATAGCCTGTGGCGATGACAGCTTAGGAATTTCATCTCATTATTCCTTTATAAGAAGGTTGTGACGGGAAGGACATCCCACGTAAACTATGTCACTCATTTTTTGCATGATTTTATGGTGTGAAATAAATTAAGTAACACTACAAATTTCATGTCAATGACCTCAATTGTTTGGGATTAAGATTGTTGTTGATGATGATAAACTGTCTTCCTTTTGACTTTTCTGCTGCTTCAGAGGGCCTTTATTCTTGTTTTAAATGTCATCAATTGTTTCCTAGATGTGATAGCTTTTCAGCCGTGTCCTGTTTAAAATTAGGTATGAAGATGATCCCATCATTGGTCACCGACTCTACCGTGAAATACGAAAAGTAGAGGTGAAGACAGGAAAGGGAAAAAGTGTACAGCCTATTCCTCATTCATGTTATCAGTGGGAAACTGCTGCCACTAATTTAGACGAATTCACTGACGTGTCTGTAAGTCACTCTTATTTATTCTTGGCCACTTTTCTGTATTTTATTGGAATCATAGGCACAAATTCTCAATCGGAACTCTAGTCCAAATATAAAGGTTTCTTTGCTCTTAGTCCATATTTTGCTTCAAGCAAAAATGTTTCCTATTTACATAAATTATTTAAATGTATTGGTAGTTGTCTCCTAAATAAATATGGATTTTTAGCACCTGTTTATTAGTTTGGTTGTAATACTAAGAGTCTAAGACTAATTTCCGTTTCATTCTCTCTCCAAACTTGGGATGTAAGGTAACAGTATTGAATGAATGCCGTCAAGTTTAGCATTTAAAACTGAACAAGAAATTATGTAAAGGTGCGAGGCTGAACAAGAAATCATGAAAGTTAAAATATTTAAAGTACTATGGGAAAACGCCTGTAGAAGACTAAAACATACTCTTTAACACTTTTCCAAAATAAGACCATGAGCACATAGCATAATTGAGAGGCCTTAATTGGTATGTAGTAGTGGACCAATTTACCCTTCTCACACACATTGCAGAATTTAGCAACTCGGATTTTCAGTTAAGTCAGATCCACTCACTTATGTCATTAATGTGATTATGAAGAAGACAGTGGCAGAAGACATTGTCATCGTTGTCCTCACCATGCCAGTCCATACGCTAGGAAAAAAAGTGAGAAAAGACCGGACAGTACAAAGTTTGTTGTCAGTCATTATCTTCACCCTCACTAACATAACACCAGGGTCAGCAATGCTAGCCATGCAACATTGACAGTGACAGATAGGTAGGCATTGGCAAATCTTGAAACTAGACACAACTAACGGTTGTCCAAAAAGTAGGGTGAGTAATACGACATAAACAATGGGAAAATGTAGATAGTGTTTATAAAATAAACTGCTATAAACATAGTCATTACTCCAAACTTCCTCAACGTAGTTATTGTCTCTAAGTTAAATAAATCTAAAAAACATATGCTGTCATTGAGATATTTTTAAAATTTTCATTAATTTAAGGGTTAGTTTATTTCAAAGTTCCAGCAACATAGAAAGTACTTCAAAAATTCAAATTGCTCTAAAAATGGCCAGTGTCTCAGTGTGGTTACATAACTTTTAAATGAATTCATAGACAATGTCATAAATTTCCATGCAGACATAAATTAGTAATTCAAAATATCATGACCATCATCACCAAGAGTTTAATCCAATCTAGATTTTCTCCACTGTCTTAATTTTGTGTGTGTAAGTTTATTCAAAAAGCATAATTGCGAAGTGCACATTTCTAAAGAAGGTATAAAGAAATAAATTTTCAAGGGAAAACCGTCAAATACACCCTCGTAGTATATCACAAAAGTCAATTAAACCCTTGAACCTAAAAAAACACCCAATTAAACCCTCAAACTTTAGAAAAATTGTCAGATGTGTAATTTAGCCAGTTTTAGTCCGGCGAAACGGTTACCATATCCATTTGGCTATCCAGGTGTCTTTCTTACTCTTTTTCTTTTTCATTTTCATTTTTTTTTTTCTTTCTATTTCATCCCTCTTCTTTATCCTTCTGCACCACCCGTTACCCCCTCCCTTTACCTGCTCTGCACACATGAGAGATGAGAGGAGAGTGAATCTAAATCTTTGTTGTTCCTCATTGCTCTAGGGATTGATGTCTTGAACCAAGAGGCATGGTTGCCATTTTAATCCCCTATAGACATTGTAGATTCGAGTGAGGATTTTGGCGACCGTTTAATCCCCTATAAATCTTCTTGTTCATGGCAAAGAAGTCGTCTGGTATTTTCTCAATCGGAAGAGATGGTAGGAAAATAGACAAGGAAAGAAAAAATTAAAAACGATGAAGAAAAGAGGAATACAGACAAGGGAAAATCCATATGGAGTGGAGATAGAAAATGGAAGCTTCCATCGATGAAGATACAGGGACCCGTGTCTGAAAGAAAAAGAATATAAACTTGAATGTTGAGGTTTGGGGCTACTATGAAATGACCTGGTTTGGCAATTGGAGTGGAGGTTTAAAGCTTCCATTTTAGCGCTCGGCGGCAGACCATGGATTTCGCCGGAAAATATGTCCGTTCATGCTATGTGTGAATGGGGAGTTTAGGGGTGGAAGTATTTAAAGGGGTGAAGGAAAGGAGACATGGATGACAAGCAGCGGCCAGACTTGGCTACAATTAGGAACCAAGAGAAGGGATGTGGGCAGGTGGAAAGTGGAGCACAGAAAAGGAAAAAAGAAAGAAATAAAAATGAAAAGAAAAAGGTAAAGAAAGACACATGGGTGACACATGGGTATGGTAACCGGCTGACTGGACTAAAACTGGCTAATTTACACATTTGACAATTTTTCTAAACTTTGAAGGATTAATTGAGTGTTTTTTAGGTTCGGGGCTTGATTGACTTTTCTGATATACTACGAGGGCGTATTTGACAGTTTTCCTAATTTTAAAAAAAAATATCATTCTAATCTTTCTGAACTTATATAAAATCATCATGAGATGACGGCATTGAGTTGTGGTAGGTTCTTTAAAATGCATTTCTTGGCATGTGTGCAATGTGTGATAACTGTGATTGATGAAGTTGCTGGCATTTTCAGAATTTGATTGTTTATTCATTTTGTCTTTTTTTTTTATTGCATGGTGCCATGCTTTTATACATTTACATATATTATAATAATAATATAATAATAATAATAATAATAATAATAATAATAACTCCATCCGTCCCGCTAATATTGTCCCATTTTTCCTTTTCGGGAAATCCCACTAAAAATGTCCCATACCAAATATGGTAAAGTTTGTGTGGCTCTAAATCATTCTTACTTTATTCTTACTTTATCAATTAATATCAACCACATAAACCCACTTTTCTTAATAACCGTGCCACCCCCTTCCGTCCCAATATTAGTGGGAAGGAGGTAGTATTATTTATTATTACTATTATTATAATTATTATTGTCCAGTTAGGGTTTGTATTATTAGAGTAATTATAGGGAGGATGCATTAGCCATGTTTGCGTGTTCCTTTTTAGTTTCTGCACGTAGCCTTACCTTGGTTACATGTAATCTATCCTCACATTTAAGGAGTAATTTGTTCCTGCTTGGTATTTATACATGGGTTTTTACAGTAATGGAAAGTTATCCTAATTAGTTAGGCGGTTATGCTCTACACATTTATAACCATGTAAAATTTCCTAAAGTAACCATTTCAGTCATTTTAAAAAAAAATCCTAAAATCCCAATGGTTACCTTCGGAAATTTCCCTAAAATGAAATACAATAAAAACTTATGGTCGTCTATGACCTTTTGGTCTCTAAAGTTTGAAGGCATACTTGATTTCCCAAAGGTAGGGAGGGTGCAATGATGAACCCATTGGTATGTGATGTAGTGTCAGCGCGAAACTTGGAGAGTAAAATAAGATGTGCATGGCTGAGGAAGCTGCTGGCATGTTCAGAATTTTGTGGTTTCCTTATTTTCATAGTGCCGTGATTCTATGAGTTTAGTTTAATTGTCAATTAGGGTTTGTTTAGTTAGAGACTTGGAGATTTTATAGACATGCATTAGCCATGTTTGCATGTTCTTTTTCAGAGTCTGTATGTAAGCTTGCAGTTGCTACAAGTAATTAGTTCTTCCTTTAAGAGTGTAGTTCGTGCCTTCCTTTTATTTTGAATTAATTCCACTTTTGGTCCTATGAGTTTTGTGCCAATTCCACATTTAGTCCACATCTTTCATTTTGTCCACTTTTGGTACTTGACAAATGTTTTTTAACCATTTGTGGTCCTTTTCCGGCCCATTTAACCATCGGAAACAATGTCAGAAGGGCAATATATGGGCGAAAACACAATAGTCATGCATCAAAAGTGGACAAAGTGAAAGCTGTGGACTAAATGTGGAATTGACCTAAAACTCGTAGGACCAAAAGTGGGATTTATTCTTTTATTTCATACAAGGGGTTTATGCCAATGAAAGTTAAGAGTTCCCATTAGCATAGAGTGTTAGAAAATCCACCTCAACAGCATCTCTCCCGTGGAGTTGGAAGAACTCAATGTCTCCTGAATTTATGTCTTTAGATTGTATTATATGATTTTATATCTTTCCGGATTACTTTCATGTACAATCTTATCTTGTTTATTTCCTTATCAACATCACCTACATCCTGGAAAAGCATTAAAGTCCATCCTTCATTTTCCTGTGACGTGACCCTCAACGTTTGAGCACATAAGACTATATTCATGTCCCATTACAATCTCATTGCAAAATAAATGTGTAGAGCATTACCGCTATGCACATAAGACTATATTCATGTCCCATTACAATCCCATTGCAAAATAAATGTGTAGAGCATTACCGCTATGCAAAAAATCTTACAGACAACATCACTGTCCCCAAATCTGACACATAGTCTGTGCATGGAATGTTCAACCAAAATATAGAAAGCATCCTAAATTCTCTCAAAATTTAAACAATATCCAACTGTTTACCAAATTAAGGTGACCTTAATTAATCCTAGTGTGAATCATAAGCCATGAAGCTTTTTTGCATTGGCATGAATATCAGTTTCACTTATTGAGCTTACTAATTACTATATCAAATCCCTGGTCAGGACTTGAATTGTGTTGCCCCTTCGTTCTCCCGTACTTTTTCCTTCTTTAAACTCCTTAGTTTTCCTCAATTTATTTGTGTACAATCTTGACACACTGAAGTCCCAGCTTACTCTTGTCATAGTCTTCGTAGTTTTAGTACTGGGCTGAATACTTGCCTTAAGAATTGTTACCCATCGCTGCTCTACCATTTTACTTTTTCAATGATTCCTGTCTCCTTGCTGAGTATGTTACATTGGCTCACAGGAGAAGCTATTTGCAAGTACTAATAGGACAGAGGTATCTGTTGGGAAAAAGTTGAAAAATAATATGCTGCCTGAGATTGAGAAGGTCCATAAGGTAGTGGGTTCAATTTCACTCTTCAATACTGCCTGCCTGCTTTATGTCACTTCTCTTTTGTATTTCTCTGTACATTAACTGTCCCCATTTATCCCCAGAGAAAAGAGAAATTGTTGAAGAAACAGCACAGAGAAGCTTTGTTGCTTGATAATATGATGAATATTGATGGGCTCACTGCTGGGCGCTCCCTTCGTGATAGAAAACCCGTGACATATAGATTTGGTAGGTTTGAATAAACAGTAGCAGAGATTTCTGTTTTTTGTTCAAGTATAATCTCATTTTGAATTTGCTTATCTTGCAGACGAGTATGATCGATCAATTAATGAGGCTATTGAAATAACCACGTATTGATCTTATGACCTTGAATTTCTCTGCTTGTTCTTGTTTTACTTTTTTTTTTATCTCTTAGAATAAAGGAATACTACCTTTGTTGACTTTTTTTAAAATATTCCTCAGGAAGAAGCATCCATCCCCAGAACACACTGCCAGAAGAGATGCCACTGTAAAACATGAAGCCACTGCAAATGGTATATCAAGACGTCCTCAATTTCCAAACGTGTCCTTCAAACTGCGGTCTCCCAAGTCACCTGAATATGAGGATGACAGTGAGGAAGCTGAACCATTGGATCGCGGGTAACCCGCCACATACTAAGTCTGATTTTCTTCTTTTTTCACTAGTACAAAAACAGTAACCAGCTTTTCTTTCTCTGTAAAGCATCCGAAGAAGGCAGAGACCCCAACGGTATTCTGAAAAAGAGTTTGTTGAAGCTCCATTTGATAACAGTGATGACGATATTGTTGGTGAAGTTGTGTATGATGATGACTATGTTAGGACACAGAAACAGCAGATGATAGAGTCAAGTAGCTCTGAGGGAGATGAAGAGTACACTTGGGATGAAGAAAACCTTGAAGAAGAAGAGGAAGAAGATGATGTGGATGATGATGGAGATGATTCCTCTGGCAGTGGTAGCGAGGATAGTGAGCAGCCCCAAAGATTTAAAAAGCGTCAAGTGGGCCGCACACAAAGGGTAAGTAAATTGAAGCATGCAGGTGATCTTCAATCTGGGTTGAGACGTAGCAAAAGGGCAACAAGAAACTCAGTCAACTATAGGCAATATGAGCTATCAGAGTCTGATAGTGAGATAAAGAAACCTGAGATATCGAATAATTCTGATGAGCACTATCTTAATACTGAAATTTCGACAGAAATCACCGAATCTGAAGAAGACAATGAGGTTCCAGATGGAGAAGCCGGTGAACTTGTACACGCAGAAACTGGGAACACTCTGGAGCAAGCAAATGCTACAGAAATATCAAACCCCACATATCAAGAGGAGGAAGCTGAAGATGATGGGAGAAAGAGGAGTTTTCTTGATCTCAATGAGCTTGCTCCGGGTTCTGGTTTTGATGATGGCCTTGGTTCAGAAATGAAAAATAACAGTGCAGATGGCTTCTAAAGTTTCCCATCCTTCAGGTCAACGTTTGCTTGTGCTCTTCTGCACTAGAGGGTTATATGATACCTATACAAATCTCAGGAGTCCACAAGTGAATCTTTATTGCCAAAGTTTAAGCACCCATTGGCATACTGTTTATATTGTGTTTCATTCTCTAGCATTGCAGAAAATTTAGATAACTAGCCAGTAGGGTAAATTATATTTATGGTACCTTAACTGAATGTATTGTACCATTTTGGTACCTTGACCCTTTAATGTAACAATATCGCACCCCAACTCTTTAGAAATGACATTGTAATGGCCCAGGGCCTTGTACTTTTTCGGCTAACATGTATCCTCTGTAGTACTCTAACTTACTCGCAAGTCGCAAGGATAACACATGGATTGACACGGTCAGGCTTTCACATGAGATGGTAATTAATGGATTAACATTGTATGAAGAATCAGTCAGGAATGTAAAGATTTGTTGAGAAGAACTAAGCTTATAAAAATATGTGATAGTATTTAGAATGCCTCGTAAGATAAAAATCACAGGAAAGGTATGAGGTTATTTCATGATGTCATTTTCTAGACAGATAGAACCAAATTGTTACATTCAGGAGTTAAGATACTAGAACGTTACATCACATATCGTTATTGTACCAACTAGTATTTTTCACTTTTACGTGAATACGCATTAAGCATTTGCAAATGACCTTTAACATCATACGAACTTTGACGTCAAATCTATAACACAAAATGATTATAGAGTGGTTTACATAGTTTGCTTGTTTGGTAACCTTCCTTTTTGACTCAAGTCTTATCTAGGGATGGACGGTGCCGGGGTTGGGTCTCGGTAGGGGTGGACCGGGCCCGGTCTGGTTCCGGTTCGGGCCTAGGCCCGATTGGGCCGGGATGGTTTTGGGTAAGGCCCGGAACCGGCCCAGGAGTCTACCGGTTCCGGTTTTTTTTTTTTTTGTGTTTTCTTATTTATATCAACCCCAACCCCAACCCCATCCCCCCAAACCCCTCGGAAACACCCAACCCAGCCTACCTAAACAGTCCAAACCCAAAAAAACAAAAAAAAAGGCCTGAACCGGCCGGGCTGGTTCGCCTTTTTCACTTTTCAGGACCCGGAACCGGAACAGGTTACCCCCTCGGGTCCGGGCCTAGGCACGGAACCGGAACCGGTTTCCCGGGCCGGGTACAAACAGTATCGGTCCGGGCCAGGCCTGGTTGGCCCGGAACCGGTCTGGTTTGTGCCGGTATCGACCTGGTTTCTGCCGGAACCCCTAGGTCTCGGCGGGCTGTAGGCCCGGCACCGACCTGGTTTGTGCCGATATTGGTCCGATCCTTTGGTAATTTTTTTTCTTAAATAATTGAACAAGTGCTAGACATTAAAATTAATGAAAATATTTATTTGAAATATAAAGTACAATTTAGAATTGAGAATAATTTTAAATATTAAATACTATTTCTAAAAATCAGTTGGAATATCCGCCAACGTCGGTTGTTGTTTCCTCCATGAAGTGACGGTCGGAGGCAGTACAAACTTCTTGAATTCTAAGCCGGACCTTCAACCAATCGTGGAAGTAAATGAGCGTCTCAAGAGATTGCGCGCTCAAACTCCTATATCTGTTAGGACATTGTCGATTGCGCTAAATTCTTATTCCACAGCTACTGTTGACATCAACATTGATAGCACTTGCTTCGCCATCTTCGATAAAATCAGGGAGATTCTTCTTTGTCCTTCCACCACTTCAGAACGTCAATTTCATCCCTTTCTTCATACTCGACATGAAACATTAGATATAAAGAAAGCTCGTCATGAGATTCTGAACGATAAATATACTACTATAAGATGAGTAGTACACTTATATTTAATACTTTAATATACTCCCTCCGTCCCGAAAACAACCTCCCGGTTTGACTTTCACACATTTTTAGAAAATGAGTTTGACTTTACTGTAGAGTGCACTGTTTTGCACTATTTAAACACTGTCTGGCACTGTTTAAACACTGTTTGGCACTGTTTATCACTTTTTTGATGTAGATAATTTGTCAAATAAGGAAAGTATTGAAGTGAGAAGTTAATTTTGGGACATCCATTTAAGGAAAGTGAGAAGTTGTTTTTGGGACGGAGGGAGTATATACTTAATATATAAGTAGATATAATATATGAAAATATAAGTAGAATAAGTATATAACAAGTAGATATTAAGTAGATAATAAGTAGATAATAAGTAGATATTAAGTAGACAATAAGTATATAAATGGATATAATATATTTATATATGTAAATATAAGTAGATAATAAGTGTATAAGTAGATATAGTAATTGTATAACTAATTTGAATAGATATAATATACTTCGTATATTAATAGGTGTAGAGAGAATAGGAGAAGATGAAGATGGTTAGAGAGTATTAGAGTGTATGAGGAATTGGAGAATGGGTGTAGGACACCAAATGATTATTAGATATTTAAGTGTTGATTATTTATGTTAAACTTAACTTATATTTGCTATTAACTTTGGCCACCAAATGATAGATCCATTGCTATGTCTTTGTAGCACAAATACTAAACTAGGGTACCGTATCTGCGTATTGAAAAATATTCTCATATCATACTAGGATACTCGTATCATACATTGGTTTTATCACAGTGTCTCCAATGAAAATGAGTGGAAATAAATAGTAGTTACACTGGAAATATTTTTTTGAACTTTTAGTTTTTTCTATTAGAGTATTACTTTTATCATGATTGAGAATCTTTTATCCAAAAAATTTGAGTACTTGCACTTTTAATGTCAAACTATAATTATTTAACTTATTTCAAATTAGTGATAATGTGTAATAAAATAAGAACAGAAGACAAAACAAAGTTATACGAAGTATTAAAAAGCAAGAGTTACAACTAGCCAATAGCTAAAACTCCACCATCTATCTTCCAAAAGGCACCATCTAGACTCAATAAAAGTTCTACGATCAGACTCTGAGGCGGCCACCTCCAAAGAAGCAATGTGAATCGCTGATCATCAAACGAACAATATAAAGTTCATGCAAACCCTTAATGTCATCGTACTCTTCAGTCTTCACCACTTCACTAACCTCATAATAGCAAAAAATTCACCTCAATTTCTGATCAGACATTGAAAAGTTCACCCAACTCTGAGCGAAACTTTTCGCTAAACATACAAAATCTTCGAGGTAACTAACGGCCTTATACATGTCAAGACTGCCACTAACAATAATTATCCCAAAATAAGGTAAAAAGTCCAATGAAAGAAAAATAAAATTTGAAGCAAAAATAAAGCAAGAAATTGCAGTTGCTCAAACTCTAATCACATGTTCATTCCATGACAGTGGTAGTTGCCCAAACTCTAATCACATGTTTATTCCATGGCGGTGGTCTGGAGGAGGACGAACCGCCAACACTTTATCTTCTTCCTTCAAGGCCAAGAGATTGTAGACCTCGTCTAAAATATCAAACTCGCTTTGCTCCTTGAATGTGTCGCTCACTACCATGCATTCGCCTTTCTTGTCAATCAATCTAACCCCAAGTTGTTTCATGTGAAAACCGATTCTTTCACTCTATACCACGAACGAACTCGCCGCCTAAAAAATCGTATCACTCATCTGAAACAAAAAGTCGAACGCAAAAGAACCTTTGTCCGAAAAACTCAACCCTAGAAAACCCTAGGGAACCATCCAATTTTCTTTAGAGATACTCTTTTACATAATACTCTTGGGAGTCCTTGCGTTGAAACAGGCGCACCAGCCTTCTCACTATGAGAATTATGAGGGAACGACTTACCCTATAGGTAGCCGAGTACACATATATACTCCTATAGGGAATGACTCTTCACCCCATAGGGAATGACTCTTCACCCTATATTTAAGAATGAAATAGTAGGGGTAATCAATAGTGTAGAAAAAATAGGAGAGACTGTGTAAAAGTATGAAAGAGAAGATAAAAAGTAGAAAAGGTAAGGGTAGTTGTGTATTTTTAAAGTAAAAACTTACCAAAAAGGATAATTATAGCAAACTTTTAAATACATCCTTAAAAGGAAAGTGTAGCAAACTTTAAAATACGGAGGGAATATTATAATTACAATTATAATTATAGATATATTTATAATCAAACTATAATCATAATTATAATTATAATTATAATTATACATATAATTATAAATACAATTACAATCATACCTATACTTATAATTACAATTATTGTAGTAGGTATAATTATAACTATACCTATTATAATTATTATAATTATAACTATAATTACAATTATAACTATAGATATAATTATAATCAAACTATAATTGTAATTATAATTATACATATAATTATAAATATAATTAAAATTACACCAATACTTATACTTATAATTATTGTAATATGTATAATAATAATAATTATTATTTTGCCTATTTTAATTATTATAATTATTATTATATTATAATTATAATTACAATTATAGTTATAATATTTATAACTCAACAATCACATTTATAACACTAATAATATACCTATAATTATAATTATAATTATAATTGTACCTATAATTGCAATTATAATTATAATTGAAATTATTGTTATAATTATAGTAATGATTATAGTTACAATTATAATTACAATATACTCCATACATAGTAACTAATAATAAATAATACTGATATTAACAATAATAATAGTATTAGTAGTAGAAATAATAATAATAATAATAATAATAATAATAATTAGGGAAAATGGAAACTAATAATCCAACCTTTTAGTGGTCTTCTTACAATAATCCAACCTTTTGGTTATTCATGAATAATTCAACCTTTGCACCTCATCTTCATTCACTGGTTCCTGACCGGTTGATGACCTGCTATTCCAAGCTATTTTCTTATCTTTGCAAATCATTATACCATAAATCTCATATTTCACAAAGATAATATGTTGCAAAGATGAGAAAATAACTTGGAATAGGAGGTCATTAACTGACTAGGGACTAATGAATGAAGATGAGGTGCAAAGGTTGGATTATTTATGAATAATCAAAAGGTGAGATTATTGAAAGAAGACCGCTAAAAGGTTGGATTATTAGTTTCCATTTTCCCTAATAATAATAATAATAATAATAATAATAATAGTTGTAGTGGTAGTAGAAACAACAACAACCATAGTAATAATAACAACAATAATAACAACAACAATAATATAATACCTCTTCCGTCTCATTTAAAGGTTTTCGTCCACTATTCTCCGATTAACGTGAATTATTTTTAATCTTTTAATTTATATATCCAACTTTTATCAAATTTAATTTTTCTTGATTATGTTTTCAAAACTTTTAATGTAGTTTTTTGAATATGTAAATTTTATTTTATTTACTAAAAATAATCTTATTAATGATAGAGATCAGTTAACTTTAAGGTCAGTAAAAAATCGTAAACTGCGTGAAAACCTTTAAGTGGGATGGATGGAGTAATAATAATAATAATAATAATAATAATAATAATAATAATAATAATAATAATAATAATAATAATAATAATAATAATAATAATAATAATAAATATAATAATCGTAATAATAAACATTCAATTAGATTAAATCAGATTGAGATCAATATGAGAACCATTTCTAAGTTAAGGAATGAGGGAGTCCACGGCCTTTACATTTCGACACGTTACACGACCTTTCAAATTCAAGAAACAAATTCATCAACGGAAAACAGAGTGAGAAGAAGAAGAAGAAAAACCCAGTAACAGATTCTATTACCTTCCTTACCCTGTTTCATATTAAAGCTGCGGCTGCTGTTTATCCTCCGCCGTTGCTCCGCCACTCTCTCTGACACACTTCTCTCCTCCTGCTTTTTCCCTCTTCTACCGCAGCCGCCCATCCACGCCGCTGTAGAATATGGGGGTCGATTACTACAACATTCTCAAGGTCAACCGCAACGCCAGCGAAGATGATTTGCGCAAAGCCTACCGTCGTCTCGCCATGATCTGGCACCCTGATAAGAACCCCGGCGCCAAAAAGCACGAGGCAGAGGCCAAGTTCAAACAGATTTCCGAGGCTTATGATGTTCTTAGCGATCCGCAGAAACGCCAAATTTATGATCTTTATGGCGAGGAGGCGCTCAAGTCCGGGCAGGTCCCTCCGCCGCCGCGGGGAGGGCCGCACCATTTCCGTACCCAGCCACATCCGAATCCCTCGTTCCGGTTTAACCCCAGGGATGCGGACGATATTTACGCTGAGTTGTTCGGTGGAGGGTCCTCGTCCGAGAGTAATGGGCGGGCCAGGGGGACTAGGGATGGGTTCTTCAGGAGCACGGCTAATGCTGGCGCAGAGTTCTCCGGAGCTGGTACTGTACCAGGCGCGGCGACTAGGAAGGCGCCGGCTGTAGAGAATAATTTGTTGTGTAGTTTGGAAGACTTGTACAAAGGGGTTAAGAAGAAAATGAAGATCTCGAAGACGATTCTTGATGTTTCTGGGTAATTTTCTGCTTTTGAAGTTTTGCGATATTTCCTCTAGTAACTGAGCTTTTTTGTTTTGTTGTAGATTCTGTAACAAATCTGGGCTAGGGTTTTTTATTTTAGATGCAAAATTATGTGTTTCTTTGTTTGGGTGATACTCTTGCTTATTGTTCTTGGCTTCTTGCTTTCCTGGCTTTATGAATCAGTGTTATAGAATTGGATGCTTTGTTATGGGCATGTCTCTAGCATGTTGAGGGCTTCTCTGCTTTCTTTGTTTTGACTTTTGACTAATAATGAAACGATAACTGCTACTGGAGCTAATATTTGTATTACTAGAGGGAAAGATAATCTGTTCGGCATATTGGGGTTGTTATAAACTATATTCATCTTCTAAATGATTATTGGTCGTTTCCTTTGCCTAGTAAGATATGAATTGTAGTGTAAATGGATTTGATTGTACTGTCCTAGCATACTTAGGGTTATAGTTGGTAAAGCCTTCTAAATCGCCAATGCAGTGAAACAAATCAATATAGTAACCATATATCCTGCATTTCAAATTTCAATTTGTATAAACTTCTGACCAATAAATGAAAAATACATAGTATAACTTATAAGCTAGGACATGAAGCTCCATTGTTTTCGTCATAGTACACTTTCTCCCCTTGCGATGATCATGATCCATTTGTGTCGCCCATGCTATTTACTTAGATAACTTTCCCATTGATTTTTGAACAGTGTCCACTAATACCTTCACTTTATGTTCCTTCACTCCTGAAACTGTATGCACTTTGCAGTATAGGTTCATAAGGATGTGTTAACCATGGAATATATTTGTGTTATGGTATGGTAAAGTGCTTCATCTATTGGTTTCCTGCTACAACAGAGATCGTATTTTACTCTAATAATAATATAATATACTACGTATGTATTTAGGTTTTTGTGCCTGCAACATGCCAACACTACAAGTTAATGTGGAGTAGGGGCAGGATCTTAATGTCTATAGTGGAGTGAATTGAGAGTCCTCTCTTACACGGAATTCTTTGCATCCAAACCTGCTTTTCATTGTTTATTGAAAAACAAATTTAATATCAACCATATGAGCTTGACAAGTTGTAGTTTACTAGTTTTTGTTGGATGTTCAGTTTTTAATAAAATATATGAGTATAAACTTTAGTTATCTTACTTAAACAGTGTTTAGTTTATTTATTTACCTTATCCTTCCAAGTTAAGTTACTCCACCTTTCTGTTTTTATTTTATCTTTCTCTTTCAATGATACCCCTGAAGTTTCCCCATGAAGGTAAGTTCTCTGGGTGCCTTCTAGGAAATTATATCATAAGTTTATTTACTTCTAAAGGGGTTCTAAAGCAGGCCAAATAAGATTGGTTTAATTTGCTTTGAGTTTTCATACACAACTCTTACCCTTTACAAATGGCATATATATCGTGATTTTTATTTAAGACAATATAAGTCTCTCCCTGCTTCAGTACAGGGGTAAGACTACTGCGTACATCCGACCCCCCTTACCCCACCGTAGGTGGGAGCCTTTGCGGCACTGGGGTGATGATGATGATGATGATGATGATGATGATGATGATGATGAATATAAGTTGCATGTGAACCTGAGAATTGTCCCTTTTATAAAATGTAAAAGATAAGAGACTGTTAATGATTTTTCCTGAAACATCAACTTATGATGACCTTGCCATCACCTACGAACTTTTTCTCAACATATTGGTTTTAGTTTGCAATGGAGCCAAAGACCACTATTGTTTGGCTTGGGGATGTGATGGAATAAAGCAAAATGGCTCACTAAATTGTCCGCACTTCTTTGTTATGAAGCAGCAGCCAGTCCATGTAATTTTCGACGCGGTTTTCACTATGGGTCACCCGGAAACAGTCTCTTTGTGCTTTAGTACAAAGGTAAGATTGCGTACATCCGATCCCCCCTACCCAACCGAAGGTGGATCCCCCCTACCCAACCGAAGGTGGGGAGCCTTTGCGGCACTGGGGTAATGATAATGATTGGTTTTAGTTTGGGCCCTTTACTTTCACCTACTCCCAACCACTTATCAATTCTGACCCCTACATTGCCGCCGCCACCAACTTTACCACTTCCAGTATAACTATCACTTCTATCCATAAATCACCACCTCTTAATTACCCTATCATCACTACCATATCCTCGGGCATCGAACAACCAACTCAAAACTGGTACTGATAAGGGGAATCCCATTGTTTGATTAAAACAAAGAACTGTGATGGTCTCTACCTACATATTTCCACTCCCAGGTATTTAAATCCCTCCCATCAACATGTACCTACCTACATATAATCATCAAGCTAATTTCAGTTGTTACTTTAACACTTAGTGTTCATAGAGGTCACTCACCATATGCAACTTACCCATAGATAATCATCAAGCTCACTCCAGTAGTTACTTAGCTATTATTATATTGTTCATAGATGTCATTTGCTCGTATCTATCTACATTCACCACTTCACCAGTCACCATAACCAACATAAATACCTATTGTCTTCGTCGCGTACCATACACAATAGGCAATGGGGGACCACCTATGGATATGTACTCCCGTCCCCAAATAAGCTTCAAAATTTGACCATTTTAGTGAAAAATGATACTTTGGTCTTTACATTTGGGTGTGGAATTAGCTAAAGAAAATAAAGGTGATAGTTGTTATTTACAATTTTAACCTTCTAAGGAGAATAAGTATTAGTACGAGTCCCCAAAAAGAAAAAGGGAAATGATAGATAAAAAGATGAAGGGAGAATATAACAAGCTAGTGGAGTTAAAATTAGAAAACCATAAAAGTGAACATACAAACAAAAGAAATTGGGACAAGGTTAGTGTTTTATCACATGAAAGCTCTCTTGATCAATTTGTGTTAGTTTACATTTGTGAATTATTATTTGATTATAGTTTTTATTATTATAAAAAAAAACAATGTTTTAAGGAGAGAATTGATTTCCGTGAAAATCAAATAGTGAAGTTTATTTAGGGACAGATTCATGGCTGGAGTACTTTTATAACTAAAAATTTACAAGCGCAAATTTTAGTGTGGACCTAAATGAACCCGATAATTATCATAACCGTTTGATCTTAAACCTTACGGTTCACGTTAAGTCCATATGGATTGGTAATTTTTGTGGCACCTAATGAAACCACAGTCATACACATTTACGTTTATATGTTTGTGGAGACACAAACATGCACACACATATATTTGTAACAGTCAATAATCAGTCCTGAAGTTCCTTCTAAATCTTGTGATTAGTTTGACACTCCCTTCCATCTTAGACATTGTCTCTGCACTAATTTTGTGCTTGTTTGTCCCAATTAGATAAGTGGTAAAGCATCTATATAAAAGTGCTTAGAGTTAGGGCATATTAAAGAAGCTAATATTTTGTTGGTAAACATTGTTTATTTATTTCAAAGGAAGAAAAGCTTGTTTGGAGTCTTTTGAGGACTGTCAAGTTGTGCCTTCATTTTGTTTGTTTATTTTCAATTACCTCTAAGTTTTTATGGAAACTTTTCATGTTTTCTTCCACGTAGAGAGTTTATGTTTTTATACCAGTGTATCCTGGATATATTATATATATTTTAAATATTTACCTCTTAATATTGACTATGCTTATATTGAAATTTTGTAATGTACTTTTTGTGTGTTTTTAGTTGCAACACTTCCATATTCGTGTTTGCCAACGCACAACTTTGACCATTAATATATTTAATTCCTTATTTGTAAATTTTTTTAAAAAATCACATTTTGGAAATCTAAAATGAGAAGAAATTAAGTATATTTAAAAAAATCAATTTTTAAAAGCATTCGTAAATAAAATGCAATTAAAGTAGAGCACATGAATAGTGTAAAATTTCTAATGTTGCAACTATTTAAGAAAGGAGGTAGTACATATTACTGTTCTTTAAATTTTGACTTTTGAATCATGATGGGTACCCATGAGTATGAAATGTGAATCACTAAATAGTGAACTCTAATGGGACAATTAGAAAAGGAAGGAAAGTAATAGCAGAGTTGGGACTGATTTCAGATATTTGGTCAAAGGAAAGTTATTCTCACCTTATTTAAGCATGATTTCCCACCTTTTGTATTTTTTACTACGCATTACCTTTTATGATTGAAGTAGTTTAGTTTGAAGAGAACGGTGTCCTTAGGAGGGGGTTTAATTTGTAATAACCTAGGTTGTTGAGAAAGATCCACCCTTGCTAGAGAGTACCTTGAGGTCTCTTGGAAGGGTTTCTATATCGTTTATTTTCCTTCTATAAAAAATCCTTGCATTTACTTTAAAGATTTTGACACACAAACGTTCTCTCCAGAAAGGGAAGAGCTTGCATAACTTGTCTCGGCTATTTCCGAGCTAAATATTCCTCTTTCGAGGACACCACTTCTATTGAAATACAGCTATTCCACTTAGAAAGGTAAGTAGAACTTAAAGAAGCAGTTTATGTTGTGTTGAATATTGTAGATTTATTCCTATCTCCAATCAAATGTCGTCATATTACTATCCAACATTTCGCTAGTATTTTCATTTTCATTTTTCATCCTTCCCATGTAAGAATCTATGTAGTGCTTCACATAATCACAATCTGTACTCCTGTGTATGTATCAGTTGAGAATTAATGGGAAACAAGTAATGTCAATATTTATGACTCTATTTTCTTTTTGTACCCAAAAAGACGATATCTATGACTCTACGTGCATTTATTAAAGAGAGACACATAGGTATTTAACAAAAAGCTCCTACCGAAATTAACTATCCTTGAAATACTATTGCTGTATGGACCTATGGTTTTATCTTAGTTTTGCCTTGCTTTAAAGAGTTAATGCTGATTTATTTACACACGCATTATGTATTGACCATCATTTTTACACTCATTGTGATCAAGGTCCATAATAGTTGATATATGATACATCACCTTCTCCCACACACACGTCGCTCACACATGTGTACTTGCGTACTCAATATAGATAAAGTCATATAGGTACTTGTAAAAGTGGGTCAAAATTGGTCTGGATGTATTGTTCACAACTGGTGCTGTATATAAACTCCTCATTTTCTCTGAGGATGAGGTGATGATATTGAATTATTATTGATGTTCTTTATGGCATGTTTTCAGGATATGCACATGTTTTTTTTAAATGGGCTATTTGTTATATTGAATATATGCTAATTGTATTGTCAACCGGGAGTGATAATCCTTGTCCTTATGTTGGTATTGTCTTATTGCAGTCTGCCTAGAACTGTGGAGGAGATCTTAACGATAGAGATAAAACCTGGTTGGAAGAAGGGTACAAAGATAACCTTTCCTGAGAAGGGAAATCAAGAGCCTGGTGTCATTCCGGCTGATCTTGTCTTTGTGGTTGATGAAAAACCTCACCCTCTTTTCGTCAGGGATGGAAATGATTTGGTTGTCAAGCAGGAGATATCGCTTCTCGAAGCGCTCATAGGGAAAACCCTGGAACTGACTACATTGGATGGAAGAAATCTTATGATCCCATTGACTGAGGTTGTAAAACCTGGATACGAGGTAGTGGTACCGAACGAAGGAATGCCAATATCTAAAGATCCACGCAGGAAGGGAAATTTACGGGTGAAGATTGATGTTAGGTATCCGGCAAGGCTCACTGAAATTCAGAAACTAGAACTGAGCAGAGTCTTGGAGGGTACCTGAAGATTAAGTTTTCTCGTTTCAACTCTGGAGGGGTGATCATATCAACTCAAGTTGAATATGCAGCTTTTGGGTGTACATATAGGATGTCAATTAGGTAGCCTTTATTATTATTATGTTATTGTTTTGTTAAAATTCCTTTCTTTATGGTCTCTTTACCCTACTCACCGGGTGTGGGGACAAAGGAATAGTTTCCTGCATCACAGCTTTTGGTTTAAGATTAGTATTAAAGGTGAGTGTTTGATGGGTTTATTTTAATTGTCTTTTATCTGGTTATTTTTGTACGTCTGAAGAGAGTAAGAGGTGATTGCTGGTTTCCCTCCTCTTTTCTTGGTCTTGGTGACAATAATGCTCAGTACACTTCTGAGCTAGATTGCTGAGGCGCACTGAGGCAATGTCATTTCGTAAAGAATGTATGCAACATTTCTTGACGTGACATTAGCCACCAACAGAATTTCATTCGTTTTTTTTTTTGTATTTTTGGTCCTGGTTCTCGACCAAAACAACTAACATTACCCTAAGATGAGTCAAATGTATGCAATCTTACACTTGCAGTAAAGCACAAAGCACAAATAGACTGTTTCAGAGAATCCATGACGAAAATCGTGTTGAAACCTAGATAAGTGTAAAATACATATAAAATAGACCCCATCAATTCAAGCCACATTGTATCAGATTTAACATATTAGACTACAAAAATATATTCCAATTAAAAGCATCTTTAATTCTATATCTATTTTTTTTAACCTGGTTTGCAAATCACCAAAATCAGTGGGGCAAACGTTGGGGAACATTTGCCGAGGTTTTATTAAAAATAAAAAGGGGTACAATTGTGAGGGGGATCAGACCAAGACTTCACCGGAAAAACAAATGAAACAAAAGGTAAAAATTAAAATCTAAAGTACGGGTAACCAAATAAATATGCAAAGTAGAATCTTTTAACATTATTGGGTAAAAGTTTCACCTTAAAATATTGCTTCGATATTGGGCTGGAGGAGAGATCCGCTAAACTGTGGGCCGTGTAATTCCCTTCACGGTATGCATGTGTAAAACTTAGCCCATTAACCAAAGCCTATTGTTTCATATCCCAAGTTTCTGATTAGGTTTTTCTATCCAAGGAGCTTTTTATTTATTTCTCAATTCATCTATAATTTTCCAAGCATTTTGTTGTTCAATGACAACATTGTGACACTTTCAAGGAGGAGGTCACAAGTTCGAATTCATCTCAGTCAACAATGTTCTCATTTAGCAGAACATATACTATAATATGCCAGAAAGTGCAGCCAAAAATTCATCTATATATATTATTAATTTTGTTTGGTGTGTTTTTGACTCCTTATTTTAATAATACCATTGTAGCTTTCTCTAAAGATATGCCTTATTTAAGTTCCCATGGTTGCTACTTGTCATCCCCTTATATTCACCCTTATACTCACTCACTCATGCGAGAGATTATTTTTTAGCATGTGAATTCTGTTCACAGAAAAATAGACATGTTTTTGGTTTGTGAACATGTCAGATCTGTTTTGTCTGGGAATTAGATTCACAAGAAAAAAACAGTCCCACACAAGAGTGGGTATAATGATATGTGTACGGGATGAGTAAAAACAGAATTTTTCTAAGTTTTTTTGTCTTAGGCTTATTTATCTCTAAACACGACCCTTGGAGTCACTTGAGACATTTGTGGTGCCAGATGGTGGCGACGATGGGGTAGTTGTAACAATCAATGTTCATGATGTTAGCTGATGGAAGCTAGTGGCGGCTATATACGGCAGATTTGATTTTCCTGAAATCTCATTCAATTAATGTTGTTCCACAATTAAGCTTTGGAATACCTTCTACATAATATTACTATAATAGTATATTGTGAAATTTCATTTTCTTTCTTGCCTGGAATCTCATCTGTGAATAATATCATAGACCGTTTACCATGCGTATGATATATCGATCACATTACATCATCATTTGTTAATAAAGAGATTTCAGCGCATACATCTTCTTATTCCTCTTTGTTGGCGCATACATTCCTCTTCTTCATTTATTTGTCTCGTCATCTCCTTCATCAATTCTTCCATTTTTTTCTCCATTAATTCAAAATTGGAGTTTGAGTAAGCTACAAAGAAATATTATTTAAAGGCCTGCAATTTTTTCAAGCTATTTGTCTTATATTAGACGGTTTACGTTTAGACTTGCTTCATTAAGGCATTTTACATTCCGACTTGTCTCAAATTATATTGCCATTAATTTGGTTTGCATTTCAACTTGCCTCAAATTATATTTCCATTAACGCGATTTACATTTCAACTTGCTTCAAGTTACATTTTCATTAACACGATATAATTTCGGCTTGACTCAAATTACATTTTCCATACACGTGATTTACATTTTTACTTGCCTCAAGTTATATTTTACATACACATTTTATCTTTTATAAAAGTAGTACTTTTACTTTTATTAAAAAAGACTCAATCTTTAACTTTTCTCACAACTACACTTTCAATGGATGAATTAGTAAAAATCATTGTTCTAAAACTCGCTAGGCGCTAGTCCGGCGGTTGAGGGGCACCTAGCGCCTAGTCCGCCGACTAGGCCGATTTTTTGGCCGACTAGGCCGATTAATCGGTCTGGCTAGGCCGATTTTTAGAATAGTGGTAAAAGTTAAAAAGAAAATTATATTTACATTTCATATATTTTCACTTCTGTCTAGTTTTAAGTTTACAAACTTGTATTCATTATATCTTATTGGTATTGATAAAAATGTGTAATTTTGAAAAAACAAAAAAGAAAAGCATAATTGTTGAAAAAAATGAAGTTTGAGTTTATAATTGATAAAATTAAAAATATTGGATATATTTTTTGAATTTGATGATAGTTTGGAATAAAATGAGTTAATGGTCCTTATTCTAGGGATATTCCTAAAAAAGACTTAAATAGAACCTTCCACGTACGGTTCTAAATTCTAATCCAATTTTGGTGATCTACTAAAAGAAAAAGAAAAAAGAGAGAAAAAAACGGAAATTGTCCTAAATAGGACTAATGAGTTCCTAAAAAGCACAAATAGGACTACTGCTTTTAAAATTCCCTAAACAGGACTAAACATTGATTTTCTACCCTAAATACCCCTAAGAGTATTAATTTATAAAGAAATGCTTTAATTCATAATAAAATCATAAAAAACGTAAAAAATATTTAAAAAACGTAAAAAAATTATAAAAAAATTTATAAACCATTTATAAAATAAAAATTTTAATTTTTTTATATTTTTATTTTTTTTAAAAAAATAATAAAAAATAGTAAAAATCCATAAAAATGAAAAAAATTATGGATACCTTTCCCACCGCCTCCCGCCGCCTCCCAGCACCACCATCTCTGATTGGTGAAATTTCTTCCACTTTTGGTAAAAAAATGCCATATTTTTCTGAAAATGCCAAAAAGATGGCATAATTACTCTTCAATATGCCAACATTTTCATTAAATATGCCATCATTATGGCATTATTTAAAATGTTGGCATATTTTTCTCCGGTGATGGGAGCTGGTGGTGCTGGGGGGTGGCAGGGGTGGTAATGTTTTTTTTTTAATTTTATGATTTTTTTTAATTTTTTTTCTATTTTTTTTATTTTTTTTTTAAATTTTTTTTTATTTTTTTAAAAAATATTTTTTTTATTAATTTTCTATTATTTTTTTACGATTTTTAGTATTTTTTTCGATTTTTATTATTTTTTTTTATGATTTTATTATTAATTAAAACATTTCATAAGTTACAAGGGTATATTTGTCCAAACACACATAAATAGCCCTATTAAGGGAATTTAAAAAATGTAGTCCTATTTGTGCAATTTTGCCACTTTTTAGTCCTATTTAGGGAATTGACTCAAAAAACGTAGTTCTTAAGTTCAAAGTAAAAAAAAGGACAACCAACTACAGCATGTAATTCAGATGTTGGTTTGAAATATATATTTCTTCCTTTTCTTACTTTCCTTTCATTTCAGTTCTTTCCTGCCGTTTTCCTATAAAGTAAGGATGTTTCTTTTGGACTCTGAAATTTGCTGATTTGGTATGATCTGGTCTGAACTGATCTGCTCTGGTCTGGTAAAGGTCTGATCTCTGTGTATTTTATAACTACAAAAATCAAGTCTGGTTGTGTCTGGTCTAATCTAGTCTGGTCTGGGACTGAAAAGAGTCCAAAAGAAAGCTTTGCCTTTTGGACTTTTATTCTTTAACTCCTCTTGTATTTTAAACTTTTATTTTATTTATTCTTTAACTCCTCTTGCGGTCTTGCCTTTCTTCCCGCTTTCACATTGCCTACTTGCAGTCTATTTTCCCATTTTCTGTGATTTGTAGCTAGCTATAGACATTAAGGGATATACCGCGGCTTGAATTTGCAACAAGTCATATCATGACCAAGACCTTGTTGAAGGTTGACCAATGATAAATTTGCAACAAGTCAATTCAAATGAGGGTTTTATCTAGCGGCGTATTTATATCATACGGAGTAATATTTTTGAAAATCTAGAAACAGACTTTTCGACTACATTAAATTCATCACCGTCATCTGTATTGAAAAAATACTACACTCTCCGTCCCGAAAAGATTGAGCAAAGTTGACTTTCATATGGATTAATAAAATAACAACCGTGTAGTTCAAATTTGTACAGAGGAGAGAGATTTAACTTTAGCCACATATTTCTTACTTTTAATGGAAATGACAAATCTTTTTGGAATATTCAAAAAAGGAAATTTGGCCAACCTTTTTGAGACGGAGGGAGTACGTACTCCGTATTAATCAAGTGTGCTTATTTTGAAAAAAAATGAAAATGTTTTACAAGTTTTTTACTTGACTTTTGATAAAAATTACATAATAGATAAAGTTTATAAAAAAGGACCTATAGTTTTAAAAATTAAGTGTAAATAGACACAATGGTTAATATAGTGACAAAATATTTATAGATTATAGAATAAACACATAACTCAAACAATGCAAAAAAAAAAAATAGGCTTGATTCCAAACTGTTAACATTTTTTTTTCAATTTTTTTCATATGTCTTATGTTTCTTTCAAAAAATGACATGCTATAAAAAGTTAAAAAAATTGTAAAATGGATGGATTGATCTTTTTTTACAGTAATAAACATCCATATATGGTGGATTTGAAAACACGTACATTTTCCCTATGATTTAATTACGACTTTAGGTGTTATATAATATAATACAAGCATTAAATTCTTACTCAATACTCACTAGCTTGACATGTACTCCGTATTTAGTTGAGTGAACC